ATCTATAATAATAAAGGCATAATATGCTAATTAGACTGGACTTCCTTCCGAATGTCCTTCCAGATGACCTTTCGGATGAAGTCAAGGCTGTGAGGGCCAAGGTAAGCCGCTGGCAGCTGCAAGGGCCGAGGCCCTTGCATGAATTTTGTGCATCGGGCCTCTAGTCCTATCTAATAAAAGAGAAACATGGTAATTAGCCGTAACTTCGCTACCTTTCCCATTGGCTAATCAGGGCGATATGCAAATTAACTGCCATCCAAGATGGCAGCTGGCAGCCAGGCACTGAAGCAAACAGGAGGCTTGCTTGCTCCAATAATAAAGGAAGCCAAGGTTCCCCGCCTGCCGCTGCTGGCCTCTGAGCTTGCACTCTAAGAAACAATGTTGCAAGTATAGCCCCTGCCCCAGGGGAGTTTGTCTGGAGCTGTAAAGCCACTTAGCCATGGGACGCCATCCTGCAACACAGCTGATATGTCAGGAGGAAAAAACTACCACACCACCTGCACCTGACAAAGGAAATGCGAAGATCCAGTGTCCTGCAGCTCCAATGAGACCGACGTGGACGAAGCTCTGGGGAACAGTGCCAGGCAGCAGTCCAGGTCACTCAGCAACACGGCAACAGGCAGCCGCACTAGTCAGTGTCGCCCTCCCAATACCAGAGACGGGCGACCAACAGGCTCCGATTCTCACATTCCTGGCAGCTGAGAAGTTCAACATCAAACTGCTCATCTATCCAGTTCCCAACTCTCAGATGACCTCCTTCCTGCTGCGTCTTCCCGTGGCAGAGAGAGCAGGGCCCAGCATTACGCCGGGGAGGGGGGGAGAGGGCCCCACCTTTATGCTCAGGAGGGGGAGAGAGAGAGAAAGAGATCAGGGCCCCACCCTTAGGACCCACCTCATTTAGCCTAATTACCTCCTTAAGGCCCTCACTATAAGACAGTCCCACGTTGGGGAGAGGGGAACTTAATTCTTCAAAATATGAACTGGGGGAAAAAAACGCCACCACAGCAGCAGTGAGACATTCCACACACAGTGTGCAGAGGCACACACACGCTCCGTCAGGACCCTGGGCTGCGGCCCGGCAGGGACCTGCTGGTGGAGTGAGTCCTGAAGCGGATCTGCAGGGCCAGGAAGCTCCCGTACCACAGAGGCCACGGTCCACTCGCTGACCCCGTGTGGCCACTCACTCGGTGGTGCCCGAGGGCCAGCCGTCGATATGGAAAGCAGCCCAGACCCGCGCTTACACAAGTATGAAATCCCTTCCAGAGGAAATTATGTAACAATTATACCTAGAGGACATTCTAAAACTCCTGAAAACCAATAAGGAAAGACAGATATCCTAATGAAATGTGAACAAAATACAGGCCATTCTGGTTATTTGTGGTGGTTATCCTATATAATAAAAGGCTAATATGCAAATCAACCATCAGTCAGACATCCCCCGAGGGCTCCGGGACTGCAAGAGGGTACAGGACGGGCTGAGGGACCACCCCCCCAGTGCATGAATTTCGTGCACTGGGCCTCTGGTCTTCTATAAAGAAGCTGTAAACACTGAATTAGCAAATACTGAGCCATGGCTCCCAGTGGAAAAACAGACAGTTTACTGCAAGTGGTCCGGACATCTCATCAGCCATCACATCCCCTGTGTCTGTGGCTTCTGCTGTGTCACTGACGCTGTGCTCGCGGCCAGCGGAGCTGGGCCTGGGCCCGAGGAGGCTCATGACAGCGCCCTCCAGGCAGCAGCCTCAGCCTCTCCCCCAGGAGCAGGGCTGCACTTCTGCACCTGCTGGGGCCATTTCAACAGCAAAACCACCACCAACAGCCTAACACGAAACAGACCTCCAACAAGAAGGCCCACCCCCGCTGGGACCCGCTGGGCCGAGCGCTCTGCACATGCCATACGTGACCGTGAAAACAGCCGAGCATGGACTCGGGGTTACAAAGACACTGTAGTGAAGTAACAGAATTTGCAGGCATGAAATCCTCAAACAAGGAGGGTAAACTCTATGTGAATGGGCAATTCAATGGATATTAAACCAACAAAAACATGTTCTTCACCACTTACTGGTCAAATCTAATGTAAAACTACCCTGAATCACTACTGGACACCTGAGTCATTGGCAGCATTTGAAGTTCTGGGAAACACGGGTGAGGACAGTGCTCTGCTGGGGGCTGGGGGCACCTGGTCGCAGCGGGGGTGCCGCCTGCAGTTCCAGTCCCAGGTCTCCGACCGACCCCCGAGGTCTCTCGCCCACGGGACAAGGAGGCGCCGGCAGATGCCAGTGAGCAGGCTCCCTCACGGCAGGCCAGAACTAAGCTCAGCAGCAACACAGGCCCTGAGGAGCCAGAGGAGAGTGTGTGCAGGGCAGGTGAGGTGTGCAGGGCGGTATGTTTGGGGGTGTACACGTGGTGGTGTGTGTGCGTGCGTGCGTGCGTGTGTGTGTGTGTGTGTGTGTGCGCGCGT